ACCATGAACTGTGAAGGCACTCATGACAATTATACATTAATATACTAGCTCACAGTCATACTGCGATATGCCAATCTGGCTGCACTGGTCAATGTCCATCGATAATTTTCCAGTGCAAGTTATAGAAAAGTTAATTTTCACTTGACTTGCGTTGGTAACAAGTCATTTCATGCAAGTGCAAATCAATTAGTCACAAGTCATTTTGTTCCGAATCAAGTGACAAATCATTAATCTGATTAACAAGAAAAAATCACAAAAATTGCGACACAAGTCCGACCACAGTCCTTATCTCATACCTAGCGTATTAGCGGCTTTCCTATTGGCTACGAGGAGGTGCGTTCAATCTCGAACCCACCTGCTGACGTATGTTTAGGAGGTGGGTTCGAGATCGATGTTTCGGCGGCGGCCAATATGAAGCGATTTGAACAAATTTCAGACGAAGATTTAAATAAAAAAGTAAATTAACTGTTTTTAATTGTTTTATAATTATTATTTTTTTATTTTGTGTGATGAAAATGGAATATTCTGTATTCAAAGTGGAAGAGAAGAAAGATGGCCGCCGAAATTTGTTTGGCATGGGCAGGTTTATATAAATCTTGGCATTGTTTTCGCAAAATGTGTTCATTTTCTCTTTTCAAGAATAAGGGAATATTGTAGAGAATTTTTTTAGCTTTAATTTCAGCCTAAGTTTGTTTGTTTGCGTAGTATGTTGGCGGCTAAAATGTTCGTTATCCAAACACGAAATTATATACTAAAAGTAAAATGCGTATAAATTAAAATTCTTCAGTACTTTTTAGTATTTTACCGAAATGGCATGTGATAAAACCAAACATACTTCAGGTTCGGTGAGTTCGGGATTGGACGCACCTCGGGTGACCACACTTGACTTTGTGTCTAAGAATATTGCAAAATCCGCAAATTAACCTTAAAGGCCCTGTTACACGGTGCAATTTTTCATGCAACTTGTCTCGCAATGGCGTTGCGAGACAAGTTGCACGAGTCATTGCACCGTTTAACATGCCTTGCAATGGTCAAAATATTTGCGAGACAAGTTGCATGAAGCATTGCACAGAGTAGAAGTCGGTTCTACTTTTAGCAACGATTGCACTAATTATTTTTAGCATTGCTGCGTGTAACATGGCTAATTAGTGCAACTTGTCTCGCAATATTTATAGCTTGGAGAGTTCCTATTGGCTCTCCCCAGTACACGCATTATTTTAATTAAAATTTGGCGCCAAATAGCGCCTCTCCCTAGTCTTTTCTCATGCCTCTGTCCCCTATCGTTGCGAGTTGCATGAAAATCATTGTAGCGTGTAACACCTCTTGCAATGCAATATCAAAATCTTTTTTTAAACATTGGCATATTGCATTTTTTATCCGTACACTCCCTGTTGAGGACCTTGGAAATCCAGGGGATGCCTTTTATATTTAACCCTGGAATTCCAGTGGGTGGGGGTCAAACCAACCTGGAATTCCAGTGGGTGGGGGTCGAAATAACCCTGGAATTCCAGTGGGTGGGGGTCAAAACAACCTGGAATTCCAGTGGGTGGGGGTCAAAATAATAAGATTTACATGGAAATTCCGGAAAAGGGGATAAAATAATGATACCGGAACTGGAAATTCCAGGGGAGATCAACTTATTCACAGCGGAATTCCGGAGTCATGCGAAAAAAATGCATTTTCAAGGGTCATTGATTGTCATCATCGAAAAAAAAGTGCTTGGAATTCCAGGCACTCCCTTCTACAAACCACATTTTTCCAGGGATGGAGACAAAAAGTGGCAAGGAAATCCAGGGGAGATCAACTTATTCACAGTGGAATTCCGGAGTCATGCGGAAAAAAAAAATTTCCAAGGGTCATTGATTAAACACAATTGGAATTCCAGGCACCCCCTTCTACAAACCACTTTTTTCCAGGGCTTCTGACAAAAAATTACTTGGAAATCCGGGGGGTAGGAGAATTTATGCCGTGTGTCCTCAACAGGGGGTGTACGGATAAAAAATGCAATAAGCCATTGCGAGACAAGTTGCATGAAAAATTGCACCGTGTAACAGGGCCTTTAGTGACAATCACATAATAGCTAAATGTGTGGAGGTAGCCCTGCGGGCCACATTATACATATATTGTCGGGGAAATAAGCCGTGGAATGACCCATAATTACTTAATTTCTATTAGCTACTATATTGTTTGGAGTGCTCAGAAAATGGACCTGTTTCATTACAGAGAACTGTTTTCTTAATTTTAGACCATTAGAATATTGTTGTAACATATATGCATGCGATTGTTACAATAAAATATGATTTTCATTGTTTAATAATTATAATAGTGTTATGTTTCCATTATAGTGTTATTTAGTTTTGAATTATTCACTGATTATAAACAGATTTTGAACAACCTAACCCAAAGTTTTGGCCGCGAAGCAGCACTTCCTTGCGTTAGTAACTTCTAGTTTTAAAAATAAACATAGTCTCACATAGAATAGAATAGAATAGAATAGAATAGAATAGAAACTTTATTTCACGAGGGAAAACGTATTAACCGTAAAAGTTATCTAACATACGGCCCTCGCACTATTTTGATATTTACAGGCATAAAACTGATTAAGGATTACGACTATTTACATTTGAGAAAAAAATAATTAGTAATGAATACAATTACAATTTAGTAAATATTTACAATTTATACAAAATAGATCTTCGATATGGTTAGTAAAGCCCTGTTTAAACGGATCCAACATTGTTGGGCCAACATCATCCAACATTGTTGAAATAATGGCCGAAACGGCTTCTTTTTCAAAAATGTTGTCAAGACTTGGTTTAGAGTTTGAGTAAAGCTTATCTAACCAAAAAGATTTGAAAGAGAAGCAGTCATATCTATTATAGTAACATTGTTGGATGATGTTGGTCCAACAATGTTGGATCCGTTTAAACAGGCCTTAAGGGTAAGCTTGTTAAGAAAGATTTTACGAATTTTTTGTTTGGCGTTAGTATATGAAGAGCAAGATGGCGAAGCAGCAAGTTGCTTACAATCGCCATCTAAGCAATTAAAAAGAATGGAAGCACTGTACAGAAATGTTCGTTTACCAGAGTCAGTACGCGGGAAGGGGGGTTGAAGGTCATATGCGCAAGCTCTAGTCAGAGCCCATTGTCGAATAGAAGATAAGAATTTAAACATTTGCTTAAATGAAGATGGAGCACTGGGATTTGTGAGAATGTTAATTAGTAAGAGAAGCTTCCTAAATTTAACAAGATAAAAAATTGGGATTATTCGAATCTGGGAAAAAAGAAGAACAGAAGGAGTAGAAAAGTCAGCGTCTAGAATAATATAGTCAAGCCGAGAAAATCAAAGCTGAAGTTTATGTAAATCAGGACAAATCTTTATCCGATTTACAAACATTGATTAAACATTCATTTCTTTTGTATTTTCCTCGTGAATTATTAATGAATATATTTTTTAAGAATATATAATCAATATTTAGTACTAATATTGTAATATTTAACTCAATTCAATTCAGTCTTTGACCAATGTCTTTGACTGCGATGTTTTATAGTAATAAGCTGATCTACCGGGTGGCCCAAAAAAAAGTACTCCTGTTTGATTCGTAATAACATCTAAACAAGTATAGCTTTTAAAGAGAAATAACTTGCATCAAATAGAGGAAGGACTAACTTAGACTTTGATATATTACAGTTGTATTTCACTTAAAAATTCACGGAGATATTAATCTTTAAATTCGGGAGGATATTTCTGGATGTGTCTGAAATATGCAAAAATCGGCGTATCAAATATTAATCAAGATTTGCCCGACTGAAACATGCACTATTACCAGTAAATAAATGACACTTGACAAATTGTTTATTATGAAACAAAGTATTATTATATCTACAAAATACAAGCAAGATTCATTCGTCCGAAATTCGCGTGTGTTCCTAGCACGAATACGTTTCCTTATTTCATGAGACCACTGCATCGCGAAGGATCGTCATTGGATCGTTCGTAGTTCTGAATTAGGGCATGCTGTCACAACGGAATTGTGAAGCTCTTCTAACTTCTGCAACGTTCTGAAATCTTGTTAAGAACACCCAAACTCTTTTGCCGTTTCTTAATCTTGGCAAGTTCATGGAGTAAACTGAGAATTATATGAAACACAATCAAACCATACAACTCCATAAGACATAACAATTAAGCAACTCCCCAGAGACATGCAACATTTTTGGAACAAAACGTAACAAAATAGTAGCGTTGATACGGTATTTGCAAAAAGCAATATTATTTCCTTCAATAAAGAATATTCATCCTGCTCTAACCGAGAAATAATCTACTCAGTCTGTTTGAACCCATTAAAAACATAAAAAAATTAGGCTATTTAAGAATACGAAAAATTTAAGCGCCTGCCTTCCATGGTCAGTCTTTCATGTACATTTAAGTTTGCAAAGACCTAATATTAAATACTTGCATAATTTCGAACGTTCATATTTCAGGAAACAATGAGCTAAGACTTACATGTAAGATGTCTAAATCTACGCCATATCCCTTACAAACCTTAACGATAATTCGCTGAAATACAAGTTAGCCTAATATGTCATTAAGCAAACAAACGCTGGAGTTAATATTTGATATGCCGATTTTCGCTAATTTTAGACACATTCCAAAATATGCTCCCCATTTTTAACATTCATATATCCGTGAATTTTTAAGTTAAATACAACTGTAATATATCAAAATCTAAGTTAGTACTTCCTCTATTTAATGCAAGTTATTTCTCTTTAAAAACTTTACTTGTTTAGAAGTTATTACGAATCAAACAGGAGTACTTTTTTTTGGGCCACCCGGTATATATCTATTTATCTATCTGAGTATCTAATTGGCTGTCATCGACGCGTTGCCCTAAAAGTCGCAGTTATCTCCCGAACTCCGAACGCATCATGGATGCGTACCTATGATCTCAGCTAGCTTACAAAAGGAGTACCAGCCTGCTAAATTCAAAACTTATATAATCATTATAACTTTCTCCACTTTCCTGTGATAATTGGACTAATCAAGTCCAACCTTTTGATTCCTTGTAAGCAATTAGTCAGCTTCTCACGAGTGAAGCCATTCTTGTGGTTGAACATCGATAAGATTTTCTCAGCGCGGGCGCAGTCATCATGGTACAGAGTGTTATTTCGAATATTATTCCTCTCTTCCCTGGCTATATCCATAAGACCAGCAAGGCTGTCCCAGTCAACAATGCATTTGCTAAGCCTGTACATTTCACGAGAGGAGAGAGGTGTGTTTCGTAACTCAACGTTGTCAACGTTGTAATTTGTATGCTCTTCAGGTTGTGTTTCCTCTTCTTTATGAACAGTTCTTACCTATTTAAAGAAGAACAATTTTTCATTTTCGTCTATTCTAAATTTCTAATGTATGCACACAGGATTAAAAGTCTAGTCAATCACAATACCATAGACAAATTTGGCTAGCTTGTTGACAAATTTGGCTAGCTAGCTTGTTTGTACACAATTCACAACTTTAGGTAACTCACACGCCTAGTTACTATTGTTCGAGTTTACAGAAACATGTATTAGAACAACGATATAACTAAGCTTTAGGGACGGACCAGAAAAAAAAAATCTTCCCAGGGATAGTGCAAAAAAAATTCCTAGCTTGGAAGATGGGCCTGCAAATTTCACTTTAAAAAAATATTTCCAGCCATCAAGTGATAAATCAAAATTTTCTTCTATAGGTGTACAAAAAAAATTATATTGCCTCTTAGAAAATCCCCCCCTCCATATCATTTCCATGCATGATAATTGTGGATAGTGCGTATACTGTACGATACAGCGAATTTGCTTTATTTTAACTATAACATATCAAACGAAAATCGATATAAAAGCGTGTTTAGTAATTGTTTAGTTCGATTCAAAATAAAAACATGACAAAAACCTCGTTTGCGCATGTCCGTATTAATTAATGTTCGCTTTGCCAAAAATAGCGGCGACAAATTAACCGTCCACAACAAAGTGTATTTGCTAGGCCTACTGATCTCTAAAGTGGTAGGTAGGTAGGTAGGTAGGTAGGTAGGTAGGTAAAACTTTATTTTACTACGCTAACCCCTACAGCAAAAGCTGATTTCCAAGGGGGGCGTAGCATTAAATTCAAATTTACATTAAAAATTTAGAAAAATTAAACATACAAATACAGTTACTTACATGCAGTTATTACAATTACATACATAATTAAATAGATAATAGTACATACAGTACATACAGTACATACATACATACATGCATAATAGTAAATATTAAGAGATTAAATAGTCAAGGTAAATATGGGTTTGAAAACTCTAATTAGTAGCCAGGTGTCATACGTTTTTATTGAATATAGCTAGTGATTCTTTTCCTCTTAATTCATTTGGGAGACTATTCCACAGTTTAGCCCCTCTATAGCTAAGACTTTTTTTAAGATATTCAGTCTTAGGCTTGGGCAAATGGAGTTTAGTGGAAGAGCCCCGCAAATTGTAGTGCTGGGAGGAAGACGTCTTTTGAAAAATATCAGTAAGTCGTAAGGGCGCTAGATCATGAGTAATTTTATACATAAGACTTGCCACAAACTGAGTTCTGCGTTCGCTCAGAGGTTTCCAGTTTAATTCATTTAGAGCAAGTTCAGATTGACCATGTTCATTTTTACGACCCACGATAGCTCTAGCAGCCCTATTTTGTAATTTCTGGAGACGATCAGAAAGTGTGGTACCAATGGTGCCCCGCACTTCGCAACAGTAATCAAGGTGAGGCAAAACAAGTGCATTATAGGCACAAATTAATG